ATACTTGTTCACGATTTCGCGATGGTCAATGTAATTAAAGGGGTACTGGTAAAATGGTATTGCTCATATCTGTACTTATATATCTTTAAGTGATCCTGCCATGAAACAATTTCTTATTCACCTATCTGAAAACCTTACTATTGGAACACGGTTTGTCCTGACGGATCTAGATGATTGTCACTTATTTATTGACCCTGAAGTTCTTCCTCGGCTGCAAGCTAAAATTGATGATCTAATGGAGAAGTTGTCATTTCCTATTATTACTGAAGACGAATAAATGCACTTGATCGTGTTTCCCTAGTTTCAAATCGTGCGTCTATTTCCTACATTGCATGTGTACCGCCAGTCGTTTTGCATTATTGAAATTTCTTGGACGTAGGCAGTAAGCTCACACTTGAAGTGTTTTACAATTAGCCTTTCCCACTTCAACTTGGCTCCATTTATTCTCATTATTGCCTCCGCCCCAGAAAAGTATCCGTTTGAACACCTTAAAATTTATTCATGTGCCACAATCTTAAGAAAACCGTAACAAACACACATGATGATAGTTTGAACTGTCGATAAAAAACTAAAACACAAACAATGGCTTGGTCTAAACCGTCCCGAAGTAGCGCTGATCGAAATGACCGGGGACGACGGGGTAAACCTCGGAAGTGACGATTGTGAGAGCAGGATTCTTGGTTAGGACGTTCTTCAGGCCTGAAAAACATTGGACATACAAATTCGGTAAATAGGTGGTCGCCGGAGGTACCTGAACTACATGAACGCCGTTGTTCCTGCGGTGGCCAGAGAAACTAACTGCCTGATGAATGGCCGCGAGGTTCTAAATACACTCAATAATAATAATATTAATCACTTGGCGCTTTGTTTTTCAAGGCAGGAATTGCCGCAAGTTGGCAGTAAGAACAACATTCCTCTACTCATATCCTGAGAGGCTTGGAAAAGCCCCGAATTTTTGACAAAGCAGTTCAATGGAATATTCCAAATAAACTGGTAATCCGTGCACATCAAAGCAAGCGCAATGTGCGAGGACGATATTTTCGTCAGCTTTAACTTTACTAAGCGTTTTAGAACGGCGAATTTATTTGATGAAAGTGTGCGGTGGTGCACGAACGAGGAAATCGTTGGCGTACCTGAAGGTGAGGCGAAGAGAGTGTGCAGGATAACGTTTTCGGGGGACACATTGTAACTCTGAAGCAGATCCATCGCTGCCAGCACCGTATTCCCAGTCCCTAGGAGCCAAGTGAAGAGGTGTAGTTAGGGTTACAAGTGAAGCAGCCTAGGTTGTCGTGCGAATGGCAGGAGGGCGCTAATTAGCTAAAAGTACAAAACTCACTAAGACTAGGGTACATGAGAAGGACTTTGCGCGATTCAATGTCTGGTGGCAGCTTGGCGTAGACAACCTTGGGTTCGGTGTTGCCGCCCAACTCATCAGTCATGGCAATCAGGATTTTGCCGATTCGCATCGCCCGACAGCAGTCGCGCAGGCCCCTCTCCATGGCCTCGCCGCTGCGAACGATCGAAACACCGCAGTTGCCTTTAAGAAACTTCAACCCGTTGTACTTGTGACCTGGGTCATTGAAAGGCACATAAGTCATTAGCAAAAAGAGAGCCATGCGAGATATAGCGGTTGGCGGGTGCTGTGCTTCACAACCTCCGGAACACGCGAGGCAAACATCGATGCCCACATAAATATTGACCTAGTGAGTCATTTATCAATGGTTGGAGCAGCGCGGCCTCAGGAGAGAAATCAGATTAAGCGCAAATCAAAGGCAGACGGATACGAAGGAGATCTAGCGATGACTTTTGTCAGTCGCCAGTGAATAGACCGTCGATGGAGGGGCCAAATCAGTCCACGATTTGTTCGTCAAGACACGCGGTGCTTATGAGAACAATTTGACATCTAAGGTTAATCCACTCACCTCGAGATGACCCGCTTCTAAAAATCACAAACCCGAATCATGTGATTGCAGTCTGCAATGTCGTTAGCGCAAGGGTTTTATGATTTGGCGATCACAACACAGAAATTAGACACGAGAGCAGGACCAAAGGTTGCAAAAATTGGAAGTTTTGTATATACTCGCTCACTACACACACGATTTCTCACGAAATGATGATGCTTTAAGGGCTGAGTCGACAGCGTTATCATAATTTGTACAACAACTTCAATTAATGCGCATCCCGTAGCGCAAATATTTCGACAGCAGGAAACAAACAAGGGGGAAGGGGCAGCACCCGTGTCACCATAGTTACCTGTAGGCGTTACCACAGAGACCTCTTCAAAGGGTAGCTGATTCAGACCTTCCTCCATGACTAGGCGAATGAGGCGATTCGCGTAGAAGACGAAGTCATTTCTCGAGGTATTCCTAAAAAACAGGCAAATCAATTGGAGGTAAAATCACTGAAGCAGGCCACTGCTCCTCTCTAACCACCTTCAATTCAAGTACAACACTACTACTTTAAATCTACTTGTTGCCTTATAGCGCATTTTGTAGAGTAAAAGAAATCGGTGTGTCGTTTAGGGTACTGATTAACGCTAAATCCGTCAGCGGCGTTAACAGAGAACTCACGTTGGGCTCTCTCACTGTATGTATCATTCACAAGCGAGATAAAAGACGAAAAGGCCGCCTTACAGAGGTGATGACAACGGATGAAAACAAAAGTTATCACGCCGAAAAGGTGACAATTTGATACCGATTTTCACACCGCGTGCAAAACCTGAGCAAATAGTAATTAGTTCAGACACACATTCACACCTATCTCTGAGAACCGTTTGCATCTCGCGGACTTCATCCGTTTGTCGAAGGAGGACAATGTTTTGTGGGAAGAGGCGCATCACCTCGGCAACTTCATCAACGGGGGAGTCTTGAGACTTGTTGTCGATTTTTACCGCAGCAAGTGCCTTAGCAGCCTCCGCCACCACCTAGAGACAAAGTCGATAAAAACATGTGACAAGTGACAGTGTACTTTTACACAACAAGCGTCAAAATGATAAGTTCGTGTCTGTTCACACATGAACTTATTTTCTCACATCATGTAGCTAACAATGATGGTAATAAGCGTCAGACTATAGTGAAAGCACAAATTTATGGTGAATAATTAATGATCATCGTGTTTAAGACGAAAAAGGCCGGGGGAGTCCGAAGATAGACCAGGTGGCATAAGGTGATTGTGCATCAACACGCCTTTCAAATGTCCCAGAACATTCAATTCGACTCGGAAAAAAGGACTACATCATGAGGATAGTGGGTTCATTTTGGCGGCACTGACGATGCAGCGACGCACTAACAAAGACAAGATGCGTATCAAGCACAAGAAAAAACCTTTCAATTCGCCTACGTCATGGGTATAAGAACCGAGCAAGGTAAAAACCTGTCAACTTCAATATATGCATGAAGCTTGACTAAACTAATTTTTTTACCGATTTAAGTGTGTAGAAAGTAAACGAAGCCATTTTCAGCCTAAGCAAACCTTTACCGAAAACAATATGTTAGGGACCGATAAAACCATTTGCGGAAGTTATTTATCCACGAAGTATTGAAGTGCGTTTTTAGGAGCCTAGGTAGGTATTAACAAACTGGTACTTTATGAAAAGCCAACAAAACTGCCAGACATTTGGAACGAGACCTTGAATGTACTTTTAACCATATGGAAAAAACATGCGAAAAGTAGATATGTCTGGAGGTTGATTTGGAAATCTCAAAAGTTTGTCTATGATGCAAAAAATGGCAAGCAATAATCACAAACCAAACATTCACGAAAATTTGCTCTTAATGTCTTCTTGTCAATGCACCAAATTCCTATTTGATGTGAAAATAGCAAAAATAATATTGATGAATAGGTTCGGAACGAGTTGAATTAGCGAAACGTATTTCTAATGAAGACTACAATAACAGTAGGTGGGTTTCAGACAACAGTCAGACACGAGCACACTAACCACTGCAATTAGATGCACAAAACGGAGGAAGAAAAAAAATCGGCTGCATTTACACTCCAAAGTATTGAATTTTGAGAGCTTAAGAAATGTAGACAATACAAAAGGCAAAGCACGACTCAAATTCATTAAACAGGATCTAATACAGTAGTATTAAATTACAATAAAAAGGTCAAAGAGAGCATTAACATCAAAAACCACGCCGTTAAAGTCGTCAAAATATAAATCCTTGAGTAATAAAGAACAAAGAAAAATAACAAAAAAGAGAAAAGGAAACACTTCTGCATAAAAAACGATGATACTGAGTGGGATAAGCACATGTATTAGGATACCACCTAAATACATAATGAAAATGGCATAGAGATAATATTTTGAACTCGACTTTTCCGATATGATCAACTTGCGGAGAACATGCAAAGGTGTCAAATTTGACGAAGAGAACCCCACTACATCTGTTACGATTTCAATCTGCAGCAGCAGCACACCTTATTCACTATATTCATTGACGCTTTCTAACTCAAGAAAAAAGGCATACGCGTTAATCTTGATCATTAACACAAAAATTGGACACCCCCAATCAAAAGAAATGAAAACTCATGTCAGAATATTTCATCTCGTTAAATAAAATTAAAAATATGAGATTTGAAAGGTTACTTGTATCGTAGACGTAGTACAAGTTGCCATCAGTAAACGGCGATACGCACGACTGATCGGAGCTGCGAACTCGCGCAGTATGTGTTAAATCCGGGATAGTGTTTAAAAGCAACTTAAACAAATTTATTAAATCACACATATTCTAAGTTTTTTTAAAAATCTTATTTTTATTCAATATAGCAGAGGTTTTCAAAACGGAAATTTTTAGATTTTTTACAGTCACTTCTGCTTGCTTCCATGTTCAATACGCACTGACCCTTTTTCATTGATTGAACCGGCAAATTTAAATCCACTATATTTTGGTATGTAGTTAGGAAGGCATTACGTGATTGTGAAAGTGTAAAAAGTTTAAACTAGTAAACAGTGCATTGCGTTCAATTGATTCAAATCCAGCTACTCAAATTAAAATGCTTCATTGGGTCATTAATTCAAAACGTAATAAGGAATGCCAAAATTTTTTTACACTTCCAAGAATGTACAGCTAGTGTGTCTTCAGAATATTTTTTTGATACTTTAAGCAACTGAAGTAAATCTAGTTTGGGAGATCTATTTATGATTGTCAAATTTTGCGTATTTCAAATTAATTCAAGAATGACCTAACCACTAGCAGCCACATGTGTTTGGAGGTAACACAAACTACTTCTTCTGATGTCTGACAATTTGTGGTTGACAGATTATTACATTTGTGGCGCAAAATGTCTGATTACACCCACTAAAGATGGAGTCATGGACATCAACCAAGTTGGGGTACTCTATTCAGACAAGCTTCAATCGTATTATTCCACTGACAGTTCATGGTCTCTGGGAGAGTCCTAAACTGGTGTAGGGAAAAGGGGAGCTGTGCCAAGGAATCCTTTTTTAGATATTTTTGCAATGTTATAATCGGGTTAAAACCCAGTGAATGCCAAAATAATTTCACATTTATTACCACAGAACTACCCCGCACACAAATTGATATGCCGTCTCATTAAGTCGCGCAGTTCCCCCTGTTTGTGACCAGTACTTTTATTTCATTGATGTCTCGAGTTCCCATTTGCACTCTGACTTCCGTCTCCCACATAAAATTAACTTTTTAACTGGAAAGCTATATTTAAGGTACTAATGTGATGGCTTTACGATAGGCCAATGCTGTCATATGGACTGAGGATAAAAACCCAAGGACTTGGGGTGTGAATTTCTGGTTGGATGGAATCGAGAGTAAATGCTTCCTGACATTTGGAACTATGCAGGTCAGGGGAACCCAAATTTGACCCGACGGAACCTATGTCCTCGGTTCGAATGTCTCCTAGGGTGAGTTGGAGACACCGATCTCTGCTGCCAATTTTCAACACTGAATTCGAGAAAGTATTCACTCTAACAAAACAGTAGAAATTGAGGCAATCCTATTTCATCCACATCCACGCAATCTCATCTCGAACCAACTACTTTAGTTTCCTCAAAACGCACCCATCGATTAAGTCCATATGCAGAATTTTTATTTATTTCCCCAAATTAAAAGTCCATTAAAGTCTCTTTATCGCCATTTCCTCCCGTAAGCATTAATTTAGAATTGATTTTAACACAGACTAATGGACTAGCACACTTCTGGACAGGTTTTTACGCAGGATCAGGAGCGATTCCATAATTATTCTCCCAGATTTATTTTAAACCACCTATATATTTTCACAAGCAGTGTCCTTCCAGCCAGTCGATATTAAAAACATCTACTGTCTGGTGCCTTTACGAGTGTATTAACATCTAATGAACGAACCAGTGTTATTCGAAACTGCCTAATTACCTGCAAATCGCCACCAAAAAGAGTCCTATTGATTGCGAGTTCTTGTATGCAAACAAGGTGAAGGTCGTGGAAGACCCTTCGCAACTTTTCTTCTTATTCTTTCCCGACGAAAGTTCCCCCTTTTGTTCACTGTCCGTGCTTTGATACCTTTTCCAGCATTGATGACCTTCCAAACCCTCACATTTAAGACGTCTAATTAAGATAGAATGCGATCGCAATTAAATTCTCACACGCTTCATTGACCTAGGTAATGTTGCAGACACTTGTCAGAGGATCGTGCAGAAGGTCTCCAATGGTATGCCACAGAAATGTGCTGTCACTCTGGAAGGCGTCATTGAAGTAATATCAAACAAAGAACTATGTTGAACTACTTATCGGTGGCTGTCTTAGGTCTAGTCAAAGTGTCTTGGACATCAACCCTTAGAAATATTGCATTCTGCAAAGTAAATTATGTCTACTAGCAACAATTCATCGGGATTTAGGCTTTCAGCCTGACTTATTAAAAACAGCACAGTTAGGCAGTGACCTTGTCAGAAATTAACCAACCACATGTGGTCTGTTCACGATGCATTTATTCCCACAAACAGCCGCGTTGTATTCTCTCAGCTCAAACTTACCCACGGTCTTGAGAGTACAAAACTTTGATACCGACGATCATGCACTCTAAGGTAAATGTTTATCCTGTCGACGTAGTTCATTTCCAAAGACAGGAGCTCCTGACCATCGTTGATTTGAGGCCAATTTTAAAAGGAAACTCTTGGTCATCCGGTCGGACTATCAGTAGTTTACATAATTTCGTTATTCAGTGGAACTCAAAAGTCAGTTGACGTGGTGACACCTCAGACCTGTTAAAATACAAATTCCACTTTTGGACGAAACATACAAACGTGGATGTCCTGCTCCGCCATTCGAGTTGCTAACCACAATTTTGTTCATCCAGCATGGTTTCTGTCTTCAGCGCCATTTAGCCTCAATCAACTATCTAAGAATGGGCGAAGATTGTAACCGGAGGAATAGGGCTTGGCTATAGATTATGACGCAAGCCCTCGATCAAGGAGATGAAGGGTTAAAGTCACTTCGGCCTTCTTGGAGCTATCTCTTCCTCCGCTATGACGTCCTTCTCCCACTCCCACCCGCCAGTCTGCCCATCATTCCATCCTTGTGGAACCGCAAAATCACTTACACCACTTGGCAAAGTTTTTGACCATTAAAGCTACGACGAGGTGTTTAGCATGTCCTCAGATCCAGCTCTGCATTCTCCAGCAGGAGGTCCCCTTTCAATCCACTATTTCTGGCCTTGTCAAGCACCTCCAGGACATCTAGAGTATTGCCTCTTTTCCCGCTCAAGCCGAAGAAATAGATATCTACTTGCTATGATGGCCGCTTTTTTTCAAAGCTGATCACAGAAACACATTTAGTTTATGAACAAGCTCGCACGGTCACTGATGGGGTCATGTCCAAACACACACTCACCAAGAGTGTAAAAAACCAGGATCTCGGAGGGACCATGCAATATACGCCGTTTTCAGCCACCCTTTAATGTCCAATGGGCAACTGTAAGCCTTAGTATCCGGAAGTAGTTTCCCCAGGTGCAGGATTTACTAGTCTACCAACTTCATCCCATCATTCATGATATTTTGACCCAAGCTTCAAGTGTAATTAAAAATTCATTTGCTCCGTCACCCTGCTACCAGCATTGACCTCAACGTGCATGTAGACAGTTGGTAGATTTCTGACGTGAGATGGGGAATCTTACCCCGCAACAGTTTCCACCACCGGCAGGTACGTGAGACACTTTGTCAACCATGGATAGTGCATGAAGAGTCCAGCACTGCAGTCCTCACGGAATGCATTCAGAACATTGTAGACACATTTGAGGTTGCCCAGCCGTTCCCTAACACTAAGCACAGTAATTTCCCTTTCCCTAACCATGTGCTTCGGTTGCCTCAAATATCGATTACACAACAACCCACCCTCCACTATCGAAGAACTTAACCCAGCTTTTTACGTCGCTGTTAACCATACCTCCTCACGTGCCACTGAAAACGCTGTTTACCTGACCTGACCAGAGCCCAAGGTTTGGAGGCAATCCAACGAAACTCTCTCTTTTTCCAACTCGCATCCCCCTAAATACACGGTACGTCTACCTTCTAGCTATAGCTTGCCATATTTGTAAACAGTGAACAAGATTATAACGACAAATAAATTTATACCAGCATATTTACCTCAATTTCCTATTTAAGTAGACCAATACTTGACTCGTACGTTACAAGTTGCAGGTGTTTCTGATTTCTGCACCAGTACACATTTCCGATAGCAGTCGATTCCCTGGGTTAGATATTAGTCCTAAATGAACGCGTTATAATTTCAAACTTGGTTCCACGACAAAGCCAATCTGAGGTCGCCTACTACGACGCGTGACAGGCAATTAAATTTGGGGTGCAGATTGTGTTCGCAGGTTAGCCCTGTACTGTTTTTGGCTAGGAAAGAAAACAGTGAATGCTAACGAAAATTTCGTGAAGCAAAGGCTCGATGAGGATTGTAAGCAAGCATCGCAACGCGACTTAACGTCCTAGTCATTGGTCTTCCAGGTTTGTTTACATGTTTTGCACCACCCCTGAAGCCAACGTCGAAAACGCTCCACTAATCGACGGGCAGCAGTTATCCATTTACTCAGCTGCCGCTGGGAAAAGGGAGGAGATTTAGGTAATCTGAGGCGGAAACGGTCAAAGCATGACGGAGGCTATGAACAAGTGGGAGAACGCAAAGCAGGTAGACATTTAGTGAAAATGGCGAGAGAAAAAATGACTGGGAATCGCGAGTAATATCTGTCGAAGACAAAACGTGCTAGCTTCAAATGGCCCAAGAACGAGAACGAACCGTCAGAGCTGACCATTTCCTTTGTAAAAAATAAAGGTAGCAAAAAGCATAAAATGTACAACAATAAAGCTATGAGCATCAACAGACAAGTGCGTTCACGACATTAGACCAATCACTAAGCCGGCCCAGACTGTCCTTCGAACGAATAGCGAAGAAGAAAACGTTGTTCGAGGCGACATTATCGAGGGTACATGTCATCGGAAGTGGTAAAGCCTGAATATCACTGATCTGTTCGGGAAAATGAAAAAAGCGGGATGTCATGAAATCATTGTGACAATAAAAACAAAAAACTACATCCAAAGTTCCAAATACCAGAGTAAACATTGCAGCGGCAATAATTAATTCAAGTGCATTTGCCTTCGATCGCCAAGGTGCACATTAAATATTCTAAGAACACGACAGAGATTCAAATAGATTAAAAAATTCTGACAAGAAATTTCGTTTACTCCGAAAGCGGGCTTATTACGTGTAAGATCCACATACACTACTAGTTGTAATACCAAGTCAAGGCCAAATGAGCACATACAGAATAATAAGGCGCATTCAACTACAGTTTCAAAACGGAATTTTTTTTTAAAATTTAGACACAAAAGGAAATAGTGCTTTTGCATACCTTTTGCCACACGCTGATAGAACTATCACTCGAGGAAGTTCCACTTGGACACGCGCAGCTAAATAGTTCGTAAGTGATCGCAGGCTGAAATTCCAATGACCTAGAACACTCGTCTAGTTCCCACTGAAGAGCGAGACCTACAGACAAAATGCGCGAAATGTGTTTAAAAATAGATTGTGGGGAGAAATTAAGATTAGAGGCACTTTTACATTCTTAGCGTAAAAGGATATTGATCACGTTTGCCAAATCACACCTAAATTCAAAATGCGGCAACGGTGAAACTTGAAAAGGAAAAAAATAGCGCTAGGTTCTGACATAAAAATGGCTAGAAATCTGATTTCTGGAAAATTAATGGCATAGGGGCATTACCTTCGTCATTTGATGAAATCGAAAGTTTAAGTCGGGGCTGAACAGGAGGAGTGAAGGTGTCAGTGGGAATGATTGGAGAAATCCATGGAGGAAGAGGCGGAGCTTTAGGGGTGTTTTGCTGGTTATGGGTAGGGGATTTGTTTGTGTGTGAATACATTTGATTTAACAAATTGTGTTGTAGATTAGGAGGATTACTCGCCGATGGCGATTTGTTACTTTCGTCTACACAAACAGCCACAGGAAGAGATTTATTTGAAATCATCCGATTAACAAGATGCAGTGGAAGTCTTTGTTCCTTTGATGACTGCAACAGTGCTTTCGAAGCAAGGGTGGTAGCCATTGGCGTTATCTAGAAAAACAACCACACTACAGCGAGGGGATTCATAAACCGCAAAAAAGATGCAAAGCACAAACCTTTTGCGGAATCTTGGATTTCGTTTCCTTAATTGCCGAACTATGGATTGAAACAGAAGCTAGCATTTTGTCAATTTCATTGGAGAGGTCACTACATACGGATGTAGCAGAAACTAAAGAATCCGCAAAGCCTTTGGCATGCTGACTAAGGTGTTCAGAAAGCTTATGACGAATTGTCAAACGAGTGTTCTCAAGCGCATCCGGGTTATTTGGAGGTTGTAGAGGGACTCGATATCCATTTTGAACACCACTTCCAAATTCTGAATGTATGACACCACAATTTGAATACGGAGAAATTGTTGCATTGTTATTTAAATTCGTGCCCAACTGCAAAACACTATCGCTTGGAATCATCCCTAAACGGCCCCCAGCAAAAAAAACAGCAAACCGACCAAATGTGCATATGGGCCGAAACACCAACTTCGGCTATGAGAGGTCATTAAGAAATGTAAGTAAAATTGCAATGACTTTGATCGAAAAGCTCAAAAAATTCCGCAGGTACTGCGAAGAAAATTAATTAATTACACTTTTTTAATGTTAATTTATTTAAAGCAGGAAAAATGCTGTTATCGCATGTGCTTGATATACTTAACATCCATTGACTAGGTTGAGGTGGCTAGCTCCTCCTTTTAAATATCTACGAAATTTACTGATTAAAAAATTGATAAGTTTAAAAATTTATTTCTGAACAAGTTTTCTCCCTATTCAACTAAAAAATCTTTTATTTCCATAATAAATTTTAGTTGAGTCATTTTTTTTGAACCAAATTTCAGCATTCTGGATTCATATTAGGTCATTTTAAAACAAAGGCACAACTTAACTGCATTTTGAGGAGTTTGTGCAGATTTTTAAATGGTCACGAAACGTCAGACTTTGCGTAAATGTAACTTGATATATTGTATCCTTTTCGAAAGTTATAATTTTGTATTGCAACCACAAAGAGCATATTTTAACTTAATTGTTTCGAAATAAAGATCGTAATTGTCTTGAAGTTCTGCTTCCTGCTTGTGCGACATGTTTTAGGATAGTATCCATGTTAGTATTGTCAAAATATATTAGCACCGATTGTGATCTTGCATTTAAAAAAGCTCGAATAGAGCTGAAAAAATTTAGCAATCTTTTGATAGCATGTATTTTTTGGAGTTAACAGTCAAATTTTAAATATCTAGATTCGCATCCTGCCTTGCCCATTAAGTCAGAAAATTTTGAGTTATAAACCACAACAACTATAGTGAAGAGAAGTAGGTAGTAGGTTAATGACCTTACCGAAAGAGGTTAATTTACTAATTCAAATAACTAGAATAAAAGTTAAGATGTTCAAAATTTTTGTTATGGAAACCGACATGGATACGGAGTACTCAAATTATGTTATGTGATTAATCCCATGCAATGTATTTGTTAATACTTCGATTATGCTTGTTTCACTATACTTTTGTATGTTTTCTGATAACCTGCTCGCCTACTAATACAGAATTATTTGATATTTTTTTGTTCTTAACAATAATTTTAATTCCTAGGATATAAGAGCGAAGTCCTCTTTTACAACCATTTGCAAAGCTAAAGTGGGAGAATATACACAACTCTAAAGACCTAAAACATCTATATTTACCGAAAAAGGAAAAAACAGAATCATTCATGAGAATTGTTTCATCCAGCAACGATTAACCCGGTCTATACAATCATCATTAAATGCTCAATGGGAATTCGTGAATTTGCCCTTGTGGTTTTCACAGCACCGTAGTGATGGTGAATGTATTTGTTCGTCGTTTTCTGAAAGTGTCTAAACCACTTAGTTTTTTAACATACTTCATTGGGGTTTTCGGGTTTTTGTTGTTGTCGCAACCTGAATTCAACTATGAAACATACGTTAGCGAGAATGCTTTGCTCATTGGTTAGTAACGTATGAATGCTAATTTTTTACTTCTTAGGACTTGTCGACGAAACATATAGACCCGAAGAAGGCATCTTTGGTTTGTCAACGAGGTTAAAAGATGCTTCTGCTGACAAATTAAGATCTGCCTCTATTATTCGTCGAGAAATGCTAAAGGCTGGCCTCGAAGTCTACGAACAACCTTTTAACTTTTCACACAAGTTACTGGAAAGCGTGGGTGTAGGTTGCTTGGTCCTTTTAGTTGTAGTTTAGAATGTCACCAGCTCGAATTTATACGCCATAATGCGTTCCCGTGGTGGTAGTCGAACCGAAGCTATCATCGTCACTGCGCCGCTACGGGCAGCTGGAGAATCTGAAGGACCCATTCCTGGGAGTTATACCTACCTTATTTCAGTTACCAAGCAACTAAGGAGTAATACTTTTTTGTTTTTACCAATCTTTAGCACAACTCTACTGGGCGAAAGATATCATATTCCTATTTCCTGACATGGAGCATATCGGGCTGTTGGCTTGGTTGGACGCTTACTATGGCGTAGAAACGTCTCCCCGTTAGTCCCAAATTAATTGCACTACCCAATGGCTGATGGCCATCCTAATTTTTCATGCTTATTTTTTTCCTTGTAGTTATCCGCGGAGCCAAGTTAGTGGGTCGTTCTGGTAGTATTCAAGCGGGAATCAACATTGAATTGCCTACATTGGGCTTGGCACGACTTGATGTTTCGTTCCAGGGTATTAACGGGGAGCTACCAAACCTTGACCTTATAAATACAGTTGTTCGCATCGCCAAAAAACTTGGCATCCCAACCTCATTGCACGGTCAGGTGTGTGCTCTTAGCTCTCTATTGTTTCTGCTGCAGTTAACGTCACGTAATTGGCTGTGTTGTCTTCTCTCTCTGTAGCTTCAAGGTTTTGGCAATTCGAGACCGCTTGTGCAACTTCAACGGTTTCTCGGTTCTATGTGGGCGCAAGGCACAGGTTCTCCTACAGGCCTGCATGGACCCCTCATCAATTTTCAGGTTCCGTGTATAACCATTCGAGGTATCCCAAGCGGTGCATCTGAGGGACCCAACGCCAATTTCGTCCGTCTCATGGGCAGGTACTGCTCCCCGCCTGCACACCTATTAGTCCGTCTTTTCTGAATAACAATTTTTTCTCTATGCAGTTTGATCGAGGCCTTTTTGCGTTGCTTGAACAATCTTCAAGAGCGCCTTCATCAGTCTTTCTATTACTACCTGTTGCCGGACCTTTGGCACTATGTATCTATTGGAGTGTACTCGCCTTTCTTTTACGCTTCTCTCGCTGGAATTCTGCTGCAGGTACGCTACGGCTGTGGTTAATTCATATATTGTCCTACTGCTAGTAATTCGACAAGCCTAAGCTCATTTGGTGTCACTAACGGTCCCTCTTGCCGCCTAGAGCCTTTCCTTAATGATTTTTGTGCGTTTTAACCAAGACGGTCTTGTTTCTACTTACTGGGCTTGCTTCCGTTTCATTAAGTGTTAGTGATAAATAATAAAACAATCCATGCAATAGCGTACTTGGTGCCATCTTTTGTCTTGCTTAATGTGACTTTGCCATTTAAGGTCATTCGCATCTACGTCGAACTCACTGTGCCTTTATCATCACCAAGCGAGCAGCCGGAAAAGTCTCCACACAAAATCCAAGAATCCTCTACTTTAGAGTCAGAGAGCTCCGCGTCTGATTCTTCGGTTCACGATCGCCTCGCCTCCGACAAATCGGAGATGCTACTCAGGCACAGGTCCTCTAAGCCGCGGATAACTGATGCTAAGGCAAGGCCTTCCTCATGCTATTTCCCCAAAACTTAGCGAGTATCAAGCAAGGTCGCAACGCCACTGTGTTGTTGGTCTCCATTGAAGTGGGACAGCTTGCTACATGGTTGTAGATTTTGGATAATTTTGGGATAAGTACTACAGGACCGCCAACGTGTTAACGTATTTCATTCATGCATTCATTCATTTCGTTTTGTTTCTGTTTGCGAAGTAACAATAATCTCTAACACAAATATGCTTCCCACTTTAGAAGCGCCTGAAGGAAGAAGAAGACGGAGCTAAGAAGGACCACAGGGCGTCACAGTCGACGCCACAGAATCGCCTGCAATTGAGCGCGTTTCGTCCCGCCGTCTCGTCACTGGCGCTTTGCATTGCCGCCGGGGCTATCGTGCACGCCTTTCCCGATTGGCTCTACGCGAGCATCGTAGCGACTTCCTCCAACACCCCTGACGCCGTCTGGCCGCTCACCGAGAATGTCTTCTTCCTGGTCTTCGTCGGTCTCTTCGCCGCATTCGCTTTCCTCCTGCCCGCACTTGGGGCTGCTTCAAAGAGGTTAGACGGCAGCTATTTTTTGCTAGGCTCTGAGACGTTACTCGGCATGTTAATGCTGGTCTGTGGCTGTTTGTTTTAGCTCTTGGCTGGGATACGGACAGGACTGGCGCGTATCAAGTGCCTTTTCGCTTCTCCTTTGGTCCTGTTTTCTCGGCTGCTTTGCCCCCCTCAACATCTCGGCCAGTTTCTTTCTGCTCGTCGTTCTTGAACCCGTGTTGCTTCTCCTCTGTCTAATTTCAACCAGGTGAATATTTGCTTATTGCCTTGGACCCACTACCAATGACGTCGTGACTACCGTCTCGTTGATTTCCGGTGCCACGCGGCATCAACTGAGCACCCGAAATTGCCCAATCAACTCTCTTGAATATTCTCTGGCATGGATACTGGACACCCCCACATTTCATTCAATTGGTCCTGCGTTAGAGGACAACCTCGGTTTAATTCAAGTGCCTGCTCTCTCCGCTCAAAACTAGAATTAATCATGACAGTTACCTAGTTGGCAGTATGGTGGGTGTTCGTTGTAGACTTAGCGAGCCTTCGCATATATCTAGTTGTGTTAGGCGTGGACTGGTCCTTAATCAGTAAGAACTTACGAGCTCGACTCCTACGCACGGCTTTAATGCAACTGCACGCTAAACCGCCTCGCTAATTTGTTTACCATCGGTAACACCAAACATTCTTGCAGAGCTAAGCGCAGCCTCGGATTGGTGTTGCTTCTCGCGGTGTCGCCACCGGGTCTCGTGGTGCTTGGCACACTCATTCACCCCCACATTCCTCAATACCCACCGCCTCCTGCTCAAACCGATACCTCCCAGATCTGGGGCCTTGTTCAGCAATGCGGGAAGGTCCTTCTACAGGCTCATATGGAAGCCGCGGTGCTCGGCTCGTGGACCTGGGGCATCGCCACTCTCATCACGGTCCCCCTCTGGATGTTCACTTGGAACGCCCTCGTCCTTAGCCGCTTCTAATTCGTGGTTTTCTCATTACTAGGCCACCGCAAGTTTCGTCGGCCAACTTGCTGGTTCCAAATAGTACTATTTTTTACGCTACGAGTTGCGGTGTTACATTTCTTCCACGGATGCCTGTCAGTGTCCCCTTGTTATATTTTCCTCTTGTCTAAACGTTTAAGTTGCGCTAAATAAAGGCTGATGTGTCTTGATAACGAGCCTCACTGAAATGACTCGCATCTGACAGCACTCAAACTGGCGCCAGCCAAGTCAAGTGTTTGCCGTATGCTTGACAAAGAATCTTTCTACAGCTCGAAAAGGTTAAATTGGTGCCTTCTCTTAAAGCTGGGACGTTTTTCGGATTTTAATATCGAAACAGCACTGTAGTTGTGTCCGCAATCTAGGATACCGTGAATGTGAGTAAATAGAAGTGCGCAGAGGTTTCAGTTAAAGAATATATATGCATTCTTTTAGCTTTTGATTACCAGCTATTTGACAAGTATGGCAAATTCTCCGAGGTTTCAAAGTCAAAAATCGGTACTAGACACCTTTCGGTTAAAGAATATGTGCATTCTTTTAGCCTTTGACTACCAGCTATTCCGCAAGTGTAGCAAACTCTCTGAGGTTCCGCTGCCACCAATCGGTGCTAAATACCTTTCGGCCGAGGTAGGACATGCGAGGAGGCGAGTCTGCATCCCATTTTCTTGGAAAGCAACTCATTTAGCAGCGCCTCGTCCGCCAGCATCTGCTGTCGCATTCGCTCCTTCCGGAAGGTCAACAGTGCCGGTCTGATGCTCTTGACCTCGCGCTCCGCGGTGCCGCAGACACCAGATTTAACCAACTTGGCGGTGTTCACCTCGCGTTCTTGCCATTCCACGCGCTTACGAGGCTGCGCGAAGTAGTCGCGTCGGGTTACCACGATGTTCGAGTCGCCGTAGTTGCTGATACCGCGAAGAACGTCTCTTAGAGGTGGCCACACACACGGCAGTGCCTTGGGTTTCCGTGGTTTTTTCTGCTCTTTGCAAGGTGGACAGCGGTGCGACGAATTGGGTTCGTTCATGCTGGCACAACTTCAACGCTCTATCGATTTTCGAGGTGTGAGGTGATTTCAAAATTTCACGTGGACCCAAGTCCATTGCAGACATGAATCATGCACATTCATGAAGAGCCAAAGCATCGCGAGCCATTAATATACCGATTAAAACCACGACTACTACATTGATTTGACGAATGAGACAATTCTGTTGTTATGCTAAAGCAACAATGGCAGGACAATGTACCTACGCTCGGGAAATTGCTAGCTTTGGCGTTAATGATTCACAAATTGTTGCTGTAAGCGGTCTTGGTTCATTTCAGTCAGAAAGACCCATTAACAGAACGGAATTCAATGAAGGTGATAAGCAACTCCAGGAGTCGGTCGTACAGATTAGCTTGAGTCTCCCCTAAGCCCCTAGAAAAAATTAAACACACAAAATTAAACACACACTAGGCCCGCAACACGTCCGTTTCTCGCTATCTACTCAACCACCAAGTGTAGCAAACTCTTGAGGGCTCCGACTCTATGGCTTGGATTCGCAACTACGCAGCAACCCACTAGCAGCGGGAAACTGATTACACTCCGCATTGCTCAGTCAGCAATTAATTGTCTTCAAATGAACCGTTTACCAGGTAGCACCCATTAACAGACGTAAACCAGACGTTTATTGTAATGGTCCCTATACACATTCCTGGAATCATTAGACATCACCGACAAATATGGCTGAAGTCGAGGGCGTCGGTGATTTGTCGGTAAGTCGGTTGAGCTAACCACGAAATAGTTGAAAACCCATTGTCCCAGACCTGGCTATTTATCTCAAAAAGTAGGACACCTCGAAGCTGAGGTGAATCGTGTTGTTCCTCGTCCATTAACGCAACCATCACAAGCCCAGGCACACTACCCGTTTAATTGGTTGAGCCACCTACCAAATGGTTAGATCGTCTCGACTCACGTCCACTAACCTAGGCCACGGCATATTCAGGCTTGCCGCCCTACTCATTTTCACGGCGCCTCTATCCACCGTGCTAAACTGTCCCATCTGGTGCCAGTATCACTCACCTGTACTTTCACTAGTTCACACAATGAATTGCTATGCGCAAAGATGAGACATACACACCACAACTGGGTGGAATCACCTTCGCCGTCTTCGGCCTTAGACTCCCCGGATATAGGCGCAGCGAATTCTGGTCGGCCCCAGTGCGCCTCCACGCACTTTGATTCAGGTGAAGAGATATGGTAAGCTCTGGGTAAAAACAAAAGCAAGCTGTGTTCTCATTGGTTAATAAGATAATACAAAGTCACGCGGGCACATTCATATCCATTTGGCATCAGCACATGGAGATCAGACACGACTGAACAGCAGTTCTACAAAAAGATAACAAATGCGGTACTGCGTGATTGTCAGTAGGCAGAGCTTGACAAAGCGCGAGTTGGCGGAGGAACGGGCTCAGCAATGACAAAAAATATATAATTTAGATTGATTTGTTTTTGCTGTGGTGTGGATTCGCAACTACGACGCGAACCACCAATAGCAGAAAACGCCGACTATATCGCGATAAACATATTTGATGGCCTACTCAATTCGGACGTTTGCACGAATTCAAGAAGAGAACTTTGAGCGGTGTAAACTTGGTCCAGTGGTTAAGGCAAGATTCAGTGTTCTACGACAACTCAAGCGTGGCTGATTGGTGGAAATGCACAACTAGTCCGTAAAAGCAAACAAGTATGCATAACCATCACCACCAGCTGCTTTTGACAGCGCGATTACCAAAGGTACAACATCCAGGTTACAAAAAATGTCGTGAGACACTGAGAACTTTTGCGAAACTGACATGACAAAAACTTTCCACCGGTCAAAAGTACACACAACTGAGATGTGGCCACAACGAGAATAAGCGTCTACGTAGACAACCACAACGACACCTTAGACCCCACTGCATCAGGCGATATCGAACAAAAAGGCGGAAAGATTCCCAGCGAAAGGGGGGGGGGATTTTTCATCTCCGTTTAGTGCCTTGCGAAGGTGGGAAATTCCCAACTGACTGGAAACAACTTATATATTATATCGGAAAAAACAAGCTTTGCGGAGTTCAGAAATTGCAGTTTGCAATAACGAATAGTGATGCACAGAAGTTGATCATTTAACAAACTACAAGATAAATCCCTAAATCGCCTTAAAATGCCCGGAAAAGTGAACAGCACTATTGAACGAATTTACGAACAACAAAAACTGGCATTTCAGGTGTGTGTATCATGTATACAATTACATGTTACTTTAGACTGGTTCCCCACTTGAGGAAAACTGATCAACCAAGAGGAGAGTTACATGTGGATCGTGACGCATATGCGAAAAGACGCGCAATCATTCAGGCAACTAGATGCAGGAAATATTTAGGGGACAATGGATGAGGACGCCGTTGAGTCCGGCAAGGAAATCGCACAAGCTTTGAAATAAAACACTGCATCTAGTTTCCCACAATTTAGTTAGATGTTGGTGGGTATCACTTAAAATATTCAGGGGCATACGTGGCCCCTTTATTTAATTTCTTCAACTTTTCTGGCAAAAGCCATCACCACAACAAGAGAAACCCGGGAGTTAAAAGACGAAATAATAGAAGATTCCAATTAAAGCAATTTTTTAGGCGAAGAGAATAAAAATTTAGGTGACGACAAAAAAGGAATTAAAATGTTAAATGCAGCAAAAACAATTCCTGCCAGTTAACTTACCGTGCGTATGGGATGAATGATAATGAATACCATGTTAAGGAGAGAGACTGAAGGATTGAGAAAATTAGACAGAGCGGCGTCTTGTGGAACTAGTTAAAGAGTGTTATAAATTGATTACACACTCACGACGGCTGAAACGATTGTCAGAATCAAGAAAATCTAAACAGATGAGCGTAATAGGCAACTTACCAGAACAAAGGAGGCTGCAATAATTCGGGACTTTGCAAACATTCGTTTACACTGATTAACGGGCCCCATTAGAAAAAAAGTGCTATTTAAAAATGGATTGCACAAGAAGGTAATTTACGCACCTCAAAAGCGCGCATACGTTTCCTAATGAATAGAGTAGTGCAAAAATACTGATTCCACTACCTGGCAATAGGAAAAATAAATTACTCTGACAAATGAGACAATAGGAAAAGTTACCAAAATTGTCAGCAAGACGCCCAAGACGAAGAATATGGCAAAGAATTTAACCCGCGTTGCATAAGAAAGGGAAGGAAGAATTTGCCCCGACTACAACATAGCCTGATAAATAATTAATTTACGTCCAATAAAATAGCTTGTTCGTCTTCTTCTTCACTGGAAAACATTTGCCTCAACCTATCCATTTAGCCAGCCAATCAAACTGCACGTTTTTGAAAAAGTTGAATTCAACACGGATTGCTTCAAACAACCTTAATGCCAAATGACCTTCCATTCGCATGTAAATATTCGTGAATGGAAGATAATAATCCTCTAGACACAACAGTGAAAAACATTCAGTCGATGCTGATACTATTCACCACAATTCCGAAGACGTAAAAGTAACTTCTCGAATATAAAGTAGCCTCAATTTATTGTCTATTATAAGCAGCGTTTGAGTGTGTTAGTTTAATGTTCGTTTGACAGGTCAAGTTCTTTCAACACGAGGGATAAACAACAATTGATTGTCAATGCCTCACCATTTCCCTTTATGATTGGTCACTTGACGTTGTCTACGTATCAGACTTAGCCCATTCTTTGCTCACGTTCTGCGGTTATGGCTAAAACGAAAATGAAGAGAAAGCGTGAGGAGCTTGAGGATACGGAAGTATTTTCTTCGTTTTTTGTATGTCTTTAGGTACTTGACGAACGTTCCGTTAAAAGATTGCACAAACTACTAAAGCAGTCCAATGAGGAAAATGATCTCGTTCCTAAGTATATTTTCTTGGTATTTTTAATCAGTAACTTTAGGAGGAAGAAGATTGAGCCGATAAGCCTCGGAGAGGATGAATCGTCCGACGAAGAAGCTGAAGATGTTAGTGTCAAGCCAGCCCTTTATGGAGACGATGGAAGTGAATACAATGACGAGTGGGAAAAGTTCTTCAAGCCTAATGCCGACGGCGATGGTGCATACTCAAATGAACTTCTTCAAAACATTGATGAGGCAAAATCGGTGGTATGTGCTACTGATTCAATTTGGCTTTATTGCCATACATTCCGTATTATTTTGTTAATCCCTCCGTAGGTGGCTGAGGAAATGTCTGATTTTTGCGGCAGTTTTGCTGGTGATTTGGATGACCTCAAAGCTATTGATGACATTGAGACGCTGCCCGAGGAATTAAAGGATCATATTCGTTTGTTGAAAGATGTTATGTCTCACTTTCGCAGCGGCCCGCTCCCCAAGACCATCAAAATGCTCCCCCATCTGCCTGGATACGAAAGCCTTTTAGAAATGCTGTCGCCTCTTGAATGGACTAACCACGTGTTTCCGCGTGTGGTTAAGATCTTCGCATCTAAAGGAAACGAACAGGCTCTGTGGTAGGTTTTCTATCCCCGTTTCTTTTCGTATATTGACTATTATTTGGAAGTACTTTAGCACTTCGCTTTGATTCATTTTCTTGGTTTATTTCCAAGAAATTTTTTTAACAAAGTCACGCTGTGACTGGGTATCCAAATGCCCCCTCCTAGAATTGTCTTTCGGAAGTACGTTATTTTTCTCAGCTTTGCATGTCGGTATCTAATCGTAATTTGTAATAATCTTCCTACTCAACCAAATGTATATTTACCTGAAATAGAAATATCCTGTAGCATTGGTCTGGACATTTTTTTACTCATCTTGTAAAAAGTCATCTTAGGAAAATCAACGTGTTTTCCTTTTATATGGTTCTGTGTAGCCACATGTTTGCACCACCATGCGTTAACTTACTTTTGACCCAAATCTACCTGCGATGGTTTCGTAGTCAAGTTTAATTACATTTTCCTCTCTGTTTCTGCCGTTTTATTCACTGCTCAGAGTCAATCTAAAGCACCACTTTCTGTCGCTTTTCTAGCTTTTACGAAAATTACCTACTTCCAAAAGTACGTGATGATATTGCCAAGAACCGACGTCTATCGGTCCAACTATTCGAGGCCTTAATCACCTCCATATTTCGGCCGGAGGAATTTGTTGCAGGCATTTTCCTCCCCTGGATAAGGGTACGCCAACTCGTGACTTTTCAAACGCATGCTCTACCATTAACATCTTTTGACACCACCGGCAAAGGGTTACTAAAATTTTTATAGCTTGTGCTCTTAGTTCTGTAGCCTCTTTCTTTTAGCAAACCCAGGCGACATATTCCCTATTTGATACTCGATCCTCACTCCCGCTTTTGGTTTAGACATGTTTTCGCATCGTTTCTTTACACTCTCGCCGAAGATTTGCCCTTATTAGTTTATATTTTCTACAAATCTTGCTTTTTAGTCGGACATGAGTAAGACAGAGGGCATTATTCTCTCGCATCTGCTCAAAAAAGCCTCCATCAGGGCGCGTTTTGCCGCTGTTGCCTTGGCTCTCACCTGCGAAGAAGAATTCTCCATTCCTCGCTCCATGATCATCGAGGCGATTCTTAACAAGAAATACATCATGCCGGAAGCCGCCATCAGTCACCTTATCGCCTATTTCACCTCGTAAGTTTACTCCATTTGACACCTTGGGTTATATCGCTGTAATTGTGCAAATGTCGATCGGTCGATGAGCTGAGTAACTTGAATTTCTGTGTTGAATGTTTTGTCCAGTTTCGACAAGGACTGTTCGGCCTACTTCACAGACGAAGGCAGGATGCCGTTGACGTGGTTCCGGAGTCTCCTGACCTTCCTGGAGTTCTACCGCGACGGCGTGTGTCCCGGCGAGCGTGAGCAGCTCATTCGACTCTGCCGACGCCACGAGCATCCGTCCATCACCCCGGAAATTCGCGCCCTCATCGGCCTCATTCCCACCGAACCCAAAGTGTAGTCGACAGAAGTACTTTTTTTCTCAATGTAAATACACAATTAGATGCATACTTACTTTCACATTTCATAATCAAGGGTTTCGTGAGCTACGCCAAACACGCTGCTGAAATTTAGCTTGCTTGGTGGTGATTCGAGTTCGTTCAGCCGGATCCGAGGTTCACTGATAAAATGAGAATTCATGATTCTTAATCTTTATGACCATAAAAAACCCAAAATACATATATGAAAGGTAGAAACTGTTCCCAAAGAAAATGGCAGAGGGAGTGAGAAGATACAAAACCTAGGAGCTCACAAGACGTGTCAAAGTTCGAAACGACAAGGTTTCGGCCACTAAAGTTAAGGTAATCTAGTAGAAGTAGAAATCGCCGAACGGTCAGATGAGTAAAATGACACATAAAAGGCGTGAACGGATGGTCTTTCAGCTCTGACTCGCCCCGAAAGGAATTGGCCAGCTCTTTCCTTCGACGTTAAAGTGCAGCTGTCGCAAAGGCTTGTATTGAAAGTGATTGAAACATAAAATGACAAGTTGATTAATCGAAACTGATGAATGATTGTTCCTAAATGATCGGGCTAAGTGTTATGAACCAAGGCGAGGCAAGCAGGAGTGAGACTAAAGTGTGGATAACCAGAAAAGTCCCAAAATTTGAGGAATGGATCAGTGTTGAATCGAGCAAGTGTCGGGAGATGATGCGAGGCTAGGCTGAAAGGGAAAAATGTCCTGAACAAAGGAGTTGATGGGTGAGATGGACATTAACAACGTTTACTTCCTGTCAGGAATCTAAAATATTGCTCATAGAGCAAGCTGAGATTGCCGGATTGCTGTCTATCAAGGAGATATGGGAAGGCTGATGAGTGGCACAACATTTAAATGGTTAAATTGTGTAAGTGTTATAGATCAAGCACTTTAACAATCAGGCAAATGAACGTGTCTACCGTGGCGTACTGCGGCAACCATCTGCTTACAGTCGGAGGGGGATGAATGTTGACTGTACCTTAATCATGACGTTTGCTATTGGACCCCCTCTACAAATTTTTTGCATGGGGTGACCAATAAACGTGGCATCATCTTTGACTTGTGACAAGGTTGCTGGTGATTGCAATGGAAACCTGACGTCAAAATTGGTCAAGGTTTGAGCAGGTCAACGTGTAGGGCTAAGTACTTAAGATAGTCGATTAAATAGATTACCACCGCTATCGTAAAAAGTCCCAACGAAATTAGCATCGGAATCCCAAGTCAATCCTAAAGAAATTTGGCTTTGTGGGAGAATGTTGGAACTGTGGCGGGCACAGTTATCAATCATGAGCAAACGTAGTTAGCAAGCCTGAGCAAACACTATTCAAGCGATTTTCGTGAATTCACTCCATGTAACTCTGCTCGCTCAAGGATTGATGCTGAGAGAATCTATATTAACGCACTTGCTATTCTGTATTCACGCACTCCGCTACTGCTTTAATAAATTGGTTGAGCTACTGGTTACCTGCAGTTCTGCTCTACTTTCGGTCGGGCCGTGTCAACGTAGATTGTCGGCCCTGGTGTGATTTCTAAAACAGCACCGGGGCCCACTACAGAACTTTTTGCTACTTTGAATGCACGAAAGAGGTTGAGAGACTGAATTTAAGAGCAAGATGGAGAAACTACAGATATGTTAGCTGCTGTGCTGACTAAAAATAGCATAGTGATTGAGGTGTCATGAAGGAATATTCGTAGGCCATGATGCAAGCTGGTTTAGGTAGTTTCAACGAATGGGGACGAAAATTAAGTGAGTCTTTTTCCTGCTTTGGACCTATTTGCTGGATACCTATACGCATCAAACAATTCTCAACAAAGTTAACAATAAACTAAGACAAAAGTATGACCTACCATTACCAAGTACTTATTTTGAAGCAACCAATTTTCCATCCATTTGGAACGAAAACAATCCTCCTCTTAGCATAAGTTATTATATTTTTTTAAGCTAAACCCTTTTAACTCCAAATATTAGTAAATGCTAAAAAAGTCATAACTTTCTCGAAGGAAAATTGGTCCGAAATTTGTTTAAACGGTTTCAAATTAGGCATGCCTCATTTTTGTCTGTTCCGCGTTTTCTTTTATCGTCGCTTGTGTGGTGTTCCTTTGCCGGGTCATCCTTTTACGGCAGTGGGCCTCTTGTTGCCTTATGCCGGGAAAAGGACTTTTAACCTTTTAAGATATTGTGTCACATACTCTAAATGATGACCCTGACTATGCAGTCTGCTGTATATCAGCAACCGAACAGTTGTTCCTCTTTTAATGACACTCATATCGGACAGGACAAAATAATTCAGAAGCAAGAATTATTGAATGGTGGGAGTCAAAAGTCTCCCATGCAGTCCTGCTCTGTCCAGTCTCGCGGTATCCCTACTGCCAGCCTGAATGCTGCAATTTCATCCTCGCTGAAATTGAACAACTTTAATTGCTCTGCCCCACAGTCAGACTCTTCACTAAATCTTCTTAACAACGTCGTTTCTTTCCACCCGTCTCCGGCAATGCCCTTGGATTCTCTGATCAAGTCTCGCATCGAGAATATGCCAAACTCGACAGTTTTGGTCAACAAATCTTGGGTCAAAAATACTGGTAAGCCGTGTTTTCTACTAATTAATGCCTTGTACAGATGTAAAACATTATGGCATCGTTCTCGACTTACTTCATACTGCTTTAATTGCGTCATAGGGTTTAGTGTAAGCCCAGGTCGCAGTCTAGTCTCGTTACAGCAAATCATTCCGTTGTCATGCATGTTTACGTAGCTTCTTGATATTCTGCGGGACTCGTCACCAATGAATTTTTTTATCACTATTTATTTGTGTGTATGTGGTCATCCGCCACCTTGTTCATTTTCTAATGGTTCTTGAGTGTCCGTTCGTGAAGTCGTTAAAGCCATATCCTTGCTGCTTTTCGTAGGTTCTGCTTTTACATCGATATTCTGCCTGCTGTCGTGGACAGTTGCTGTAATGCCTACCACATTAACTGCGGATTTTCACCCGCTTACATCGTGATAGGTCTGGAATCGTCGATTACCCCTAGTGTTGTCAGTATTCCGTGCACCACCAATCATTTCGTGTTAAAAGTCTGCTGCTGTGCGTTCGGTGCAGTTTGTTGGTGGTGGTTTGAGTCGCTTAAGCTCGTCACTAACTCTCAGTAATCAACTGAATACTTCCCATGTTCAGGTACCAACGGCAAGGTCCAACTTTTTCCCGATTCCGAGCTTCTCAAGTGCTGTAAAAATTCCCAGTCTGCTCTTCCGCGTGTCAACCTTGGCCTCAGGAATGCTGGAAACACTTGCTACCTCAATTCAGTCCTTCAGTGCCTCTTGGCCACTGGTTCCCTCTTGCATTTCATAAATGAAAAACACAACAAACCAGGTGTCTGTGTCTATGCCAATGGGAAGAATGGCAGGCGGTTCTGCGCTCTCTGCGCTCTTTTCCGCCTGTTTCAAGAACATGGTCAACAAAACAACCACTCCCTCATGTCCCAGAGCATGGACTTTTCCAACCGGACTAGCTTCGGATCCACGACTCCATCTGTCTTCGCGGCCAATGTTCGAGGTATGCTGCAGTAAGGAACTCTTGCATACTGTGGCACTTGGCCTCTACGCGCACACCTTTATCAAATGCTCGTTGAAGGCCGATAATGAGGCTTGTGAATCGATAATCGGGTTACGTAGACGCACTTTATTTTACTAACTGCATTTCTGTAGTGATTTTCTTACAGCACGGGGACCTGGCCATCGGTTCGTGTTGTGCATAGTCGAATTCCACAAATGCCTTTCTGCCAGTTGCCTCTTTAAAATTCAGTACATGGATTATTGCCGCATAAATCACCACAGTCATGTCTGACCGAGTCCTTTCCGCACAGCTGTGTGTCCGAATTTGCGGGTCTACGCACAGGAGGACGCTCACGAATACCTCCTTGGGTTGCTCTCGCGCATGGAGGACAGTGTTCTCACTGGGGTAGGTAAAGTACCTCGATCTGCTCTCGATACCAACGTAATCCGTCGGATTTTTGGCGGTATCACGAGGTCTGAGGGTATGTTGCGCATGATTTGCTCTTGCCCTTTCTCCCACACCTCATTCCCACCTTTTTTCCTCCCTCAGTCACTTGTACCTTTTGCCACAAGGTGTCGCCGCGAAACGACCAATGGTTCAATTTGTCAATGGACATTACATACGCCCGCAGTCTCCAGGTTAGCCCTTAGCTTTCCAACGCCGAATGTCTAATTAGCATATGGTGATGTATATCCAGCAGATTGAGCATCACTAACACGAATAATTTCCTTCTGAATGGCACTAAGATTTAGTCTCGCCCATTTCCTTCAGATAATCCGATCTGGTATTTCCTTAAAATAGCACCTGTATCTTGCACTTGGTAACAGTAATGACACGTGTTATTTCATGTTTTTCGCTGAGCTGTCAAAGTGTGGTTCGAAGTGTTACCAATTGTCTTTTTAGCAATGTCTGGTCAGCTTCACGCAAACCGAAATCCTCCAAGGCGCCAATGCATACAAGTGTGAGACTTGCAAGCAGCTTCGACACGCGCGACGCTCATCTCGCATTTATCGTGCTCCCCCCATCCTTATTGTCCAATTCAACAGGTTCGTGACTTTTCGCTCTCAAAATGGCCACTTTTCGGCTTGTATGTGCAGTCACAAGACACGCATCACGTGACTAGTCTAGTCGGCCGTAATTAGGTGCACCGAGTCTGGTGGCTGCTGCGCCACGCCGTCCATGCGGTGCCTTTTGCGCGACATCAATTTCCACCGTGGTGGCAACTGATAGCAGTCTTTTCGCAAGGCCTGAAACCTCTAAGGTTGTTTATTGTTTAACGGCGACGGGGGAAGGGCTTGTCGTTTATTTAAATCAAATCGGATATAGGCCTCAAACGATAATTGTCGTCTCGCCTTGCTGCCTTTCTCTGCGGCCGTAGATCTGACACACTGCGCTTTTATGGAGGTGTAGTTCTCGTGAATAACGTGACCTGATTAGTGTTCAGTGTCACCTGCTCGTGAACCCTCCTACATCAAGGTCGGGCAGACATTTTGGGTCGGCGGCGTTAGGTACTGCCGTCGCCTTCGTTCCATCTGTCACAGTACTCATCTTTCACAAATAGCATCACACGTCACACCTACTACACCCCTGCTTCTAAGCCGACAGACAAATTTGCGTTTATCTGCGTGCAAAGGCAGGGGAGATTGAGTTGTGCCGTGCATTGGACCCTAGTCCATGCACCGGCATACAAATTTGTCATTCCCAGCTCCAAGTCTATCGTTGTCGGCTGTTTCTGACGCCTCCTTACTAACTTCCGTCCTCCCTCTGCAGGTTTTCTCGCAGTCACAAGCTTGATTACCGTGTGGAATTTCCTGCATCTTTTAATATGCGGCCGCACATGACTCCGTCAAGCGGAGCCCCGGTCGTGTACCACTTGTACGCCACCTTGAACCACGAGGGCTTCAGCTGTCGCTCCGGTCACTACATCGCCTTCACCAAACGGAGGAATCAGTGGCTCTCGCACAACGACAGCGTTGTAAGTTGCCTGAGGTGGGGGGGGGGGCTTGATTGTGGCTGCCACCGCTCTCGTTTCCTCCTGTGGAGCTTATCTGGCTAAAGCAGGCGGTCGTAAGCCACGCGCCATCCTTCGACTACTTTGATTTCTCTATTTTTGCACTTTCGACTGGCCAAAGTGGTGTGATTTACTTTTTGTTAAGGCCCATGAAAGCCCTACTTTGTTAGCTACACAAGCTTCCTTTTTTAACCGAACACCACCGAAAGCCGTGTTGCTTTATTCGATTGTTTATTATCAGATGATCTCCCCCCTTCCATCATTGCATCAATCCACTGCCTGACGCCATCCCAGCTATACCTAGAGCAAATCAATCAGTTGGAATGAGATCGTGAATACTTAATATGCAAAAAAGTTCCCCCTCAGTTGTCCCTGATGTATTTTCAGAAGAATTGACAAGTTGAGAAACAAGTGTAGTAGGATTGATGGTGCTTCTACCCACCGTTTCAATGATTGGAAGTGTCTAGGTGATACTTCCACTGGCTAAAATGCCAACTTTCGTGTGCTACGTGGATGCTGTCCACGGATCTGTGTGGAGCGAACATACTCTTGTGGGGCTGTCGTGCATTCCTCTGTTTTCCAATAAATGTCTGTCGTCCGTCTTTTTAGCTTTTCAAAAGTTGGTTAAAATGTCAAAACTTAGAAATTCGGAAGTAGTAATTAGATCAATTAAAGGCCTAATTGGTCGAGCGATTATGCGTTGTGTACACGGTTTGTTTCCACGCCTAGGTTACCTCAACGACTCAGGAACACGTCCTCCGCCAGTCGCCCTACCTCCTTTTCTACCAACTGGTACGTCCGCCAGTCGTGTTTGTCTTATCACTATTGCCTACACCCACACGCCAGGCTGTCGTCCAACACGCTGCACACGACCCCCCAAAGTTTTCATTGTCACGCTAGAGACCTGAGGCAGCACATTGTGATGTAGTTTTTTGCTCCTACGATCCCAACTCCTTTTATTTTTGGCGAAAGTCGTGGGGATTGCATTTAAGGACATTCCGCACGTTAGGAAACTTGTGCGTCGGATCTTGTGTCAATCTTTCTTTCTGTTATTACAAGATGCATGTTTTAGCAACTGGGAGGTAAATGTTCCCTATTGGTCCAACTCCGTTTGCAACGTCGATGACCCGTTGGGATTAAGTACACCTAACGCCTACACTCCACCCATAGGCTTCACCCGAGGACGTCATGACCCCCTCCCAAGGTGATTGTCCAATCAGCCCAGCGAACAATCGACCCAGCGCCACCAATGTCAGTTCTGCCGTGCCTCCTGCCGCGTCTACCACCCCGCCTTTCCAGTCTGACAGCAGTGGTAGGGTTCCCTCGACTGCGTGTGATCTTGACCAAATCCCCCTTCCCTCTGGTTCCGCAGCCCCCGTAAAATCGAGACCCTCCATCACCTTCCACCCGCGTGTCCTCGCCAAACCCTCACCGATCCCATCCAAATCTCCGACTGTAGCTCCAGGTCGGTTTTCTCTTATCCCGCTCATCGAGTTGCGTCAATTTTGCAATTCGTGTTGATATTCATTATGTGCAGGAATCTAGAGAGACTTTATTAGTCTTCAAATTTTTCTAAGTCGTCTCTCCTGAAGAACCCGTTTTCTGTCAAGTGACGCTTTCTTGTCGCAATCAGAGCATTGGTCAGTCGGCTCACATTTCCTATCCTTCTGAAATTTGAATCACGTAGACCTATAGTGGTCGGTAGACGTGCAGATTTGACAGTTTAGCCTGGCCCAGGCGTTGCCATGGTAATAGCCACAAAACGGCGCCATTACGACGTCTGGTCCCCATTAGTTCACTAAAGGCTGAAGAGTCCGCTGTTCCAGGTAGCTTTTAAGATTCCTCCTTTAGCAATACAATCAGTTCAACTCGGGTTTGCCGTTAAAACGACGAGTTTTCCTCAAATTCGGTTACTTGTTGGCAAAACGTGTTCATCCAAGCCTGTCTGCGTTGTCTTTTGTAGGCGCCAAGGCACCGGAGGCCCGTGTTAACACGAATGGCGATTCTTTCACTGGCCGCGTGGCAGCAATAACCGCAGGGAAGCCATCCTCACCGGAACCAACTGCAACGCCTGGTTCCCGGCCTCAACAGCAGACCCCTGCCACTGCTAACGTAAGTCCTGGTGGTGTCGATTGCCGAGTCTTGATGGAAGGTAACACGACTTCATTCTCACCCTTCAGGCCACTTCTCCAGGCGAACGAAATGCGAATTCGCCACTGCTGACCACTAATGGTGAAGTCACAATTAGTCGCCAGAAAAGCCCTCCGCCACCGTCTTTGACTTTGGTTAACGGTCGTTGCCAATCCAGCAGTGACAGCGCGAGCACGGAGTCGAGCAGCGTGGAGTGGGTTCCTGTGACCAAGGCTGACCTCCTCACACGTAAGCGGTGTTACAAGGACTTGACAAACAACACCAATGACGAAGGCTCAGGCGTTCCTTGGAGTGAGAAAAAGCGACTGAAGTGGACCTCTGCTGAAGCCGCGTCGGATTACCACAAGGCGCACCATAAGAAGCACCGCCATCACAAGCGTCGTCGCGACAAGCATCGGCACAAGAAAAAGCGACGCCATGATTTCGGGAGCAGTCAAAAGCAGCAAAGCGAACGACACATGCGCGGAAACCTTCCTTAACGGCCCTGTATTTATACCAACAACCCACGCATCTCCTCTGCTTTCTAACTCTTAAGGGAAACCTCTTACTTCCTTGTCTAGTGTGTTTCTATGTATTCGTAATTCGCGAAAACTCACAAATGCGAACGCCTCTGTCTTGCGCACTCGAAGACGCCTCACGCGCAGGCCTTGGGAGAGCGCAGCGCCAGTTTAAGTGGGCTTGTTCCACCTCGGTGATACCTGTCGCTTCTCAAGCGTTGTCAGTCATCGACTTGGGAGCATGTGAGGGGTGTGAATCGTGCAATTGGTCTGTCGGAATTAGACGTGTGGTTAGGGGGCGGCGCTTTTGATTGCTGGGTGATGGCTGCGATGCTTACCTGTACTTTGTTTGAAGACTTCGGTTGGTCAATGGTGATTGGTAGAACAGATATTTTGGTGGATATGATTGGTCAAGTCTGGAGGATGGTGAATGACCGGTCAGGACCAAGATGCGGCGAATGCTGGTTGGTCAGAGTATTTCAGCGAAGCCGAATAGTTGTTGACGGTTCAGACGTAGTGTGCTTAGGAGCCAGAGGAGTGTCAACTCGACGAGTGTAGCCGAACATTGAGGGGAGGGTGTGTTTGAGCTTCGCGACGGTCCGTTCTGTGCGAACCCTGACTTTTAATCATCCTTTTCGGAATTGAAGTTTCGGGTAATTGCGGTACCAATCGATATCGACACCGAGATACCGAATTTCACATTCTGAATCACTAACTTACTGGGTCGTGCAAAATGATATTCGTGGCCCTTGGTGAAATTTAACATTTCGCTTTTTACGCAAATTACTGCTCATCGCAATCCGTGTCAGTGGTGCACGTGTTGTTTTAAATCACATAATCTCAGCTGGCGTATTTCTCCCTCAATAAGAGATTAACCCTTGCGCATTCGCGTGCGCAAGATTGCGCAAGAGTTTCAATCCAAAGAATCAGTTTGTAACTTTTCTTCTTCGCAAACGGCGGACTTATCCGCTGAGTTGGGCACTGCCTGGGATCCGTTTGTAGGAGAAGCATTTAGTTTACCAAAAAGCCTAATAAACCAATGAAAAATTGCGCCAATTCGTCAGGCTTCCCAGTTTGTGGATTGGTTCTCTCTAAAAGTTAATTCAATAAATCTTAAATTCGTTCTAACGTCGAATACTTGTATTACTATCGTTGTTTACACAAGTCTGATCGGATGGCTGTATCGATTTCTGGAAATTTACTTCGACAAAAATTGATTCTTTAATTAACTTATTTTGTGATGGGGCTTTGATGCTGCGAAATCCCCTTCAGGATTTAACGTGTTTGACCACTAAGAAAGAATCTGACACGATTTAAAATTTTGTGTACAGGAGGTCTACATGTAGTTGCGCGGTAACGAAGAGGGTTTACATGTGAATTTCTGAGAACGACAATTTCGTTTGTAACTTCGAATGGTTAAGGATGGTTACGGAACTATTTTAGTGTGCATAGTTGACACCTGTCCTCTGGTTGTGGTTTTAAAACCGGATTTGCAGCTGTTTGCAGTCAACCATTTTACTTCACACTGCAGCTACTTAGGCCGCACTAAGTAGCATATTACGAAGCTGTTCGTCAGGTCAAACAGCGGTCAGACCCAGAGCAAATGCGCCTCGCATAAACATAGCCGCTTATCCGACAAACGTGCATGTGACAAGCGCACCCAAACAAAATATTTGGTCCGTCAGAGCTCCGAAAACCTGTCCGAGAAGAGTACGGTGTGTCTCCATCGCAGCCTAATGATTACTGCCGATGTTAAAACGGAGGTCAAATGAGGAGCCAATCCCATCGCGATCAATTAACCAATAACCGCGGGAGTGCTGATCGTTCCCTTCAGTATAGCCCTAGAGAATCGTTTTAAATAATTTAACCTTTCTCAGTCAACTCAAGGTCAGTTCAACTATCACGGTTCCAAAATAAGACATCTTAGCAAACTCGGATGGCCCACAATAGTTGATTGTCAGTTCACGTTTTAGCACAAAAGGTGACCGAATCACCGTTCTATGTGAGTTCAGTGATTGTTAGTAAAATTCGCAGACAATTAACACAAAATGTGCCCCTTTCAATTGGTCTTCAGTCGCACCCTATCGGTTTCAATCATCATGAATTCCGACGAAGTGATCTGGCCAAAATTAAAAGCCGACGTGTCTGTGATCATTATGGATTAGTTAAATGTCATTGATGTTCTGATCAATTCCCTTCGCATTATGCCCCAAGATCAAACGATTACAAGGTCAACTACTCCTGCATGACAAATGCTAGCCTCGTTTTACATTCTCTAATAGTGCTTAGTATGAAGAGGTGTTCTGTGTTTACCTTGGAATCTCAACTGTGTCCCGTCGTTACTAAATTTAAATATGGCGGGTGATGGTAAACGCTCGTGACCAATCAGGAACCAAAGCAAATTCGACTCCCTTCGTGACAAGTAGCATTTACAAATCGATAATGAACACCCACTATTCCCCATAACTGTCTTCCAAACTTTTACGAGTTTGTAACTTCTTCCATTAAAGTAAAAATCTGAAAGCGCTTCGTCAAGATAATGCTGTTAGTGTTGGTCTGGCCTTGTAATGATGAAAGATAATCAATCTTGAAATCGATTGTCCGTGTCATTTGAGTGAGTTGCTTACAGTACTTGTCGAAATGCACTCCTCTGCAATCTCCCCATAATGTCCATAACGAAACCTCTTCGCTTCCAGGCTTCTTCCTTTTTGAATTTCGTGCTGGTATGAAAAAAATATTTTTACCATCCTTATTTATGAATAAATCTAAAGGAAGTAGCTATGGAAACACGGTCTGTTTGTTTCGTTTTGTCAAAGCCTGCACATCCCACATATCGAGTTGCGATGCACATTCACGCTGCTGTAAACTCCCAAACAAGGTCGATTTGACAACATCTAGTCTCGCCAGTGTTGCTAATAACTCAATTACGGGCATAGTTGTTATCACGTCTTTGGCAAACTCAAGTAACATAACAAGTCAAAATTACAACTTTCTGTTTTTTATTTATTTAAATTCCTACACAAAAACAAATCTCTTTTTTGACGATAACAGTTAGCCATCCATGAAAATCATCAAGCAGAAACATCCATGAAAACATCGCTAATTATCCCACAATTTGTTTATTTGCGTATAAGCAGTCTATTAAAATTTAAGATCAATTTAATTTCATTGTGAAATTTCTAAAGCTATTGGGAATTAAATTACGTCCTCGGTAAAACGGCATTTATTTTAATCATGAGCGATTAACTTAAAGAAAATCGCTAAATCGTACCATTTTGGGAACTGAAATTACGAAAACCCATTTATTTTGGCACAAATAGTTTGTAAATTTATTCTCTAATTACCTGTGTATATCATAAATAGCGCCCCGCGACACCCTTGATTTAAACGTAGGACTCTAATGCCCCTGTTGTCAACCGCATATTCCAAAACACCACATTTCTTCCACTTGAACGACTCCCGCGCGTTAACTTTATCCCCCATTCTGACTCAGTTTTCAGACAGACTCGATTGGTTGCCCACCTTTACCGTCCTCCCACCACACCCTCCAAAATCGACACGCAAACTTGAGGAAATCTCAGCCACATCTTCACCAGTTTTCATCACAGTGTAGTTAGAAACTCATTCTTAACGTCCCAATTTAAAATGCCGGTTCGCAACCGATGGTGAATTTAAACAAAAACGAATGTCTCGTCATTCCCAACTGGTGTGTCTTGATTTTGCACGACTAAACAAGATTACTGTCCGAATTTTGTTTAGTTAGCTGAGCTGGCAAATTTCAATTGTTCCTGTAAATCTATTTGAACAACAACGTAAATTACTTTGTATTTCATTTGTTAAAACTGACGAATTTACTGTGGATTTTCTTGACCTTATCATATCCCATTATGAAAGTATGTGTAAAATTCATACCGGGGGTCATTTCTATTGCAGCAATACAACCGATTTTGATATATAAATATCGATTAAATTCTTCCAATCAGCATATTAAAATATGTAGATAAATTAATTTTCCGTGTGTGTTTGCATTAACTTGTAGTGTTTAGGCATTGTTAACCTTAGCAGTTCAAAGTAGAAAGAGGACTGCTTGTAATGTTCATAACTATTGAAACAAATGAAAATTGACATTTTACGAGGCGAAATCTAGGATTTGATTGGTGCAACAATAATGCCAGAGTCACATGGATGCGAATTTTTCATTGGTGCGTTTGCACTTCCTCTCACCTTGAAAGTCATCCAATCAAATTGGGCGGAGGAGCAGTTTTCAGAAAAGTGAGGGAGAAAGGGAGTTCTAGTTGCACGCTCAACAAGTTAGTAAAAAAATCCGATTTTGCCCTCAACGAGGGAATTCTAACAGTAAAATAAATAAACTTAAGATTCATAATGAAATTGGAATTACAATCCATAAACTCAAACACGTCGAACGACCCATAAATTATTGGGGGACGCATTTCTGATTTAAATGTATTCAGTGAATTGCCCGAAATACCACATATGCTGATTATACAATTACGCCGAGAGACAGTTTGGAAACATGACCTTCAGCTGTTTAATGGACCGTTTTGCCACCAACTAATTAAACAAGTCTACAAGTTCGATGTATCACAATTTTTATTTAATCAAGGCGGTTATTCAGGCCGAGAATCGGCACCACAACTAAAACATCAGTGACCACTATGAGCTAATTGAACAGATCGAAAATATATCAAATTCATGGGCAATTTTCCATTGGCCGTTGTGAATTTAATTGCATCCATTCGCAGAATTTTAGGGGGCTTGTTTTTTTTTAAATTAAATCACGCAACCAGAAGCATCACCCCAAACGCAATTTTTAAATCATTGCCAACAAACAAAATCATTAAATGCATGTCTGAGCAGCGTTCATCAAGGCGGGCAAACGACCCTAGATACTTCGACATTCGACAATCATTCAACAGCACCAGTAGATGCAGTTGGATTCCCTACGAAACAGCGAGGAGGCAATCAGCTACGAAATCGTGGATCCTAGTTCCTGCCAAAATCACTGCTCATTTAAAGAAAATGCTGCGGTTTTTTGTAGCACAGTAGCAATCTCTGCGCCACCACAGGGTCAAAACACAGTCTAAGACATGACTTCGAACAGGGAGCTTATTAGTTTTAGCCAATGGCCAAGTGCATTTTCAGATACGCTAACTAACACATGTTGTGGCCTGCCTTGGGTGAACCAATTAAAAGAGGACGGCCGATTTGAATGCACAAAAATGGAGTGCGTGAATGAGAATGACGATTAAAACAAAAAAATGAGGAAATCTTAGAAAAACAGTCTTAGCGATGCTGAAGCACCAAAAGAACTATGGAGAGCTTTCTCTGGAGTAAATGCACATTTCGGAGGGAATGGATTAATTCAAAGTGATTACAAAAGTGGATGCGCTAACTTACTATTTAAATCAGCAGCATGTGCACTCTCGTTATCAGCCGGGTAGGACTTCAGCAGCCCACCTTCATTGATCGCAACTAACCCACGTGTACACATTACCCTGACTCGTATCAAATGCATCGCTGATATGGTAATTCACTTCACTACAAGTCAAGAGGAATGGTCCAAATGAGATCGTCATCCTCAATTTATGTTCTAAAGTAAATTAGCGGCCTCGGAAAATTCGGTTCGAATACGGTAATATAATTCACTTAATTCCATGATATTTTTGCTTTTTCTTCATATATCTGAGAATGTTTACAAGGTTTGAGGCCAAAGTAAAGTCAAAGCAGCATTTGGCTGGATAAAAAATTAAAAAAATATTTCTCGGTACTATTTGAAGTAAGTTTAACTGAACGACAAATCTCTAGTTTTGCGATGCTATCATTAACATTTACATTTAAGCGATATCTGTGCATCCTATCCGACTATTAATAAAATCCAGTTTTTGATGTATTTTCATTTATTTGTGTTCCGAAATAAGCTTACGGGATATTGATGAATGGCAATAGATTCACCAACAGGCTCTTCGATCCAACTTTGCATGTATTACTTTTCATTGTCAGTAGTGTGTCCTAGTATTGATGCAGACAATTATCAGAAGAGCAGTCCTCTGTGGGCTAAGTCATCACTGAAAGGTAGAGACTCCAACCAATGAAATTCTGACCTAGAAAAGTCACAATTTAACGGCACGAAACGTTAGACCTGCACCATACTGATGTCCATGCTCTGGTAGCCTAATCTAGCCATCCCTGTCCCCTATCGTACAAGATTGTCTTCCTTTGTAACGTCAGAATTTTTTAATTAGAACATTGGCCACGTCATTAAGAAGGAAACGACTGCCTGTTTTCTTCAAGGAAAACATCTCGACACAAACCATGCACTTGCTTGAGATTACTGCTTAAAACGCAGGACACTTTATTGAAGGCCCAGGTAATTCCAGGACACCACAAGCGCAAAGAGTAACAACCACAGTTTACACGTAGCTACAACCAAAAGATGCTACTGATTTAAGCGTGCCAGTCACTTAGTTGGCGGTTTTCGCGTGCTTCATTAACCACAACTAACCCGGATATACACACAGGCATATATTACTAAAACGCAATTATTAGCACTTGCGCCATCGCAAGAAGGAGAGAGAAATTGGAATGCTAAGAATGCAAATAAAGACAAAAGAACTAAATGCGCGGTACTCTAAAAGTTGGGAACGATGGTAAAAAACGGCGGAGGCAGTGTAGCATGCGCTAAGTACACAGCACAACAACGAGACATGGAGCGCGAGAGATATACTGACGGAATGTTTCTTGGCGTAAAATGGCGTGATCACAACACGTTGGAGGTCGCTCTTCGTAGCAGCCTAGAAGGTCGGTGGAGGGTAGTAGGATTGGCTGTAGGCGCCCGCCCCCTCGCCGCTTCTGATTGGCTGTTGCGAGGGCGGCATCGGACCGCCACCAATCGGAGTTGGGGGGTACATGTCATCGATTCCGGCCGACTGGGGTGTCAACGGCGGCTCCCCGCCCGCCATGCCTGGGTGCGTCAGGTTGGCCGACAAGAGGCCCTGCCCGCTTGCTCGAAAACGAAGCAGTGCCATGAAAGTGATGCCAGCCTAGAGAACGAACGAATTAGGTCATTTTGCTTTCTGCAGCTCCGTCTTAGCTATCGTAGTGACTGGGCAGAAACGTTGAAGAAGAACTAGGCCCGTTGCCCTAAGCGATTAAAGTCAACTCGTGATTCATACTTGGGAATAAACGCACACTTAGCGAGCAAATTCGAAAATGGCGCTTAGAGGACGAATCAGAACAGAAAAACAACAGGGTGGTTGAATGATCCCCCAATGGGCGTTCAGTCCAATGTAAACCAAACGATCGCGGATCGGAAGTATGTATTTAAACAAAATACAACTTCAGACATGAGTAAACAGTCCTAGTAGCATTGCACGTACTGTGGCCTGGGACTTTACTTATTGTCCAAAAGCAGCGCCGTGTTTTCTGTTTCTAAATATTCTCGTGCCCGTTTCTCAAGCCACGTCCTCTCCATCGCCCCTGCAGTTTGTGTCCGACGGAAATGATTCCACTTCAGGCGAGCTTTCAACGGGACAGTCTAAGAAGTTTGTGCTGCGGTAAGCGCAATTCCCGCATTAGAACATCTGGTGATATATTTGCGGTTTATTGTGCTCCCGCTGATTTGTCGGTGTCAAATCAACTGCTTGGCTGTCTCTCTATGGTTCAGACTATCCGCATTTATTAAGCTCGAGTCAATTACTTGAAAACGAACTTGCAACTCAGAAACACAAAATTCGTAAAGGTTATCAGGCTATTCCGCAAAAGTTAGCCATTATGATGACACACGCCTCTTCAAAACGGCGCCCAGAGAACAAACCAGAACAGTAAAACAAGGAAGGTAGCATCTTAATTGTTAAACCTATTCCAAATTTTGTTTACAGATTTGCCCAGGGGCGAACAATCAGACACCGCATTTGAACATTGTATTTATAACGTGGGAACTGGAAAAATCCACTTAATCTATTGCTCCGAATTTCGTCGATGGAATGAAAAACAATCAATCACCTGGTTAATCGATCTGTTATTAATCGATAAAACAACAGATACTGCTGCTACTACTACTACCACCACCACCACCATCATCTGTTCCCACTATCAACCTGAGCCGGAATCCGTGCATGAGAATTTCGTCCATTTTCGGATGAGGCGAAACCCACATCAAGTGTGATAATTCACTTTATTAAAAATCAATAAGTATGATCAAAATGGGATCATTATGTAAGGGTAAAGTCAGTCTTAAATTGGATTCTGATAGAAATCCTTTTTGGGACAAATTTTAGCCGAAGGAGATTGGTTTCTTGTGCAAATTTGGGTCAAAAGCTAAGGTTAGTTTCCTGTGAAAATGCTGACTTCACGAAAACGGATAAAAATCAAAAATACTTTTTGGTGTTATTCGAACAACAATTCTAAGGTTGGTTGATGCTTTCGTGATTAACTCCATTTGATCAATTTCCGCGGCTTAGCGCTTGAAGTGGCAAAACGAGGAAACCCCGGCTTGCCAAGGTAATTAATCAGATGTGAAACGCGAACATGACAAATAATTTTAACTTGACTAATTTCAATTTAACGCTCAAAACGAATCGAAATCATTTAAAATCAAGAAATGACAAATTTTACAGATGTCGGGACGATTCGGAGGGAATTGCAGGAACATAGGCAAACAGATTAAAAATATAAATTAAAGTAGTAGGAAACCATCAGATGGTAAATGTATTTATAAAATTGAACAGTTGATCATCGGCTTCTCTCTTGAAGTCTGCGGGTTAAAATTATTAACCTGGATTGTACCATATTAAAACCAGTGCAACCCATTGGATATTTTGTGCATTAAAGCGTCTTTGCTGAAACCGTTTAAGATGGTCATTGTCGAGATTCGTTGCGAGCCTGTGGTGATTAGGTTAGGAACTGATGAGGAGTCGATCTCTTCGATCCATGGGACTCTAACCCGTGACCCCAAGGCAAGTGATTTTCTCGTTATCCACAAGCTAACAAACTAGTCCCAATAGTATCGGCTCCTATTGGTTAGAAAAACTCTTTTCCAATTGATCGTTATGTAAACCGCAAAGTTTTCTCCTTTGACCATCTCACATCCCAAATCGATACGGAGGTCGCGATGAGGTTTCGAGCCCTTGATCCACCAAGAAAGAGAGTGGTGGTGGTTTCGACTACCGACAGACATCTTCTTCAGCACGTTAACTCAAATTTCGGTATCTTAAATGCTGGTCGTTTTTGAGAGTCGTTGCGAGCCTGTGGTGATTAGGTCAGGAAATGATGAGGAGTCGATCTCGTCGATCCATGGGACTCTAACCTATGACCCCACGGTGAGTGATTTTCTTGTTATCCACAAGCTGACAAGCTACTCCCAATAAGATCAGCTCCTATTGGTTAGGAGACGTCATTTTCTAATTGGTTGTTATTTCCTTCTACCTTTTGACCACCTCGCAACCTAACTCGACTTGGCAGCTTTGATATGGGGTTCGAACCCTCTTCCTACCAGAAAATAGGGTGGTGATGGTGGGTTTGATTACAAACGGGTAATATTTTCGTCATGGTAACTGACATTTCGGTGAGATAGTCGAGGTCATTAAATAGGCTGGCATTTGATTGTCTAACCCTTATTCGTCGTTGACCATCTGAAAGCTTGGCCGCAGGCCTGCTTAAATAAGATGATTGATAGCCACAAAAAGATGATCGAGAAACATCCAAGGCAAACTGTCATTTCTCAGATAATTCTAACAAAAAGGTAATTGTGGCGATTGGTTGTCGTCGGGAGATGATTGAAGCCATCACTGCTGTTGATTGGACAAAAATTCCTTCCAATAGGGTATCTGAGAGGCCGATCGTTGGAATGGGAATATTGTGAGTGTCAATAATTGAGGCGAGTCTGCTGTGGGTTGGGTTGGGAACAGATGTGGAGTCGAATTCGTCGATTTATGGGACTTGAACCCGTGGTCTTAAGCTGCTTCTGGTGCTTAATTAGCTTAGAATGCTTTGTTATTTTTCAAAATTTTTAAAAATTGTCTTCTATAGCTTTTAGCCAATCTGTCGTCGAGCGTCTACCGACCGCAGACCCTGATGCCGACGGCGACCACGGCGGCAACGACGACGGGTGTG